GGAGGACACTCGGGCGGTTTGATCCCTTTGTCTCTTAGCAGTTGCTTTATGCTTACCTGCGACCTCATGTGGAACGCGCAGTCCCCATGTATGGCAACCCTGGCACAAACAAGACCTTGCAGCGCTCGAGACTCCATAGCGACGAATCATGCATCAAGTCAACGCGTTGTTCAATCTTCCTTATCAACTTAGGTTGAGGGCGGTAAAATTATACACCCGGCGGAATCGGTGTCTACTTGGTGATCTTATCAGAGCTTACCAGATCCTGAAGAACACCAACCAGGTCTGCCGCCACCTACTACAAGTCATCCGTAGCACGCATATGAGGAGCTACCAGTTCAAGTTAGCCACGCAATACAGTTGGCTAGAATGCCGAGGGAACTTTTATTCTCTCCTTGTGTGTTAGCCTTTCAAGGCTCTCCCAATTTACGTTGTTTCCGCTCCCACTTTACCTGTAGTTAAGAAACGCCTTCACGTTGCTTTAACTTACCCACCTTACGAGATATAACCTCTGTGTCTCGAAAGAGGATATAAAGTGAAGAATGTTCCACAGCCAGAATTAACCTACCCAGCTATGGTGTGCTCTTTCTGCGTGTCTCTGTGTTAACACTGTGATGAGTCCACCAAAACGAAGTTCCATTTATCCCTGTGTTTTCTATTCACCATATTGTGATTCGCATGTTGGCCATCCTACGTGACTTGCTAAACATCCACCTTTTTGCCCTTACTATACCATTGTTCCTTCGTTCCAACCATGGAATGGCTCATGCTAGTGTTCAAACAGCTTAAGGTGACGGTAAACGTACATTCTCTCACGGCTTCTCGTGCTGTATACGATTCAGCAAGCTATTTTGGGGGCAGTAGGTGGGCCGGATGAAGTGACCTCGCGAGCCCTAGTTTGGTAACCTCTGCTTTGTCTCTCCGATACTATTCTCGGAATCCTGATCACACGCTTTCGAAGTACCTGGAGGAGCTCTATCAATTACAGCCCCACTTGCTTTTACACCAGGGGGATCACCCTTTACGAAGCGTGTCACTTTTGTCACACTCGCATTCTCAAAGCTGTCGTTTATTTCAACGCGGTAACCGGAAAGCAAGCGGCATCCAAACCTCGCTTCAAGTCCTCGTGCGCCTGTCCACACATACGACCGGACTATATGACCCATACCGCAGTAACCTCTGCGTTTGATCTTCACCGTGACTCGGTAATCTGTCAACTGCCAACGCTACGGTATTTAACAATATGGAAAATAGCTATGCGATAATGTACTTGGCTCCAAATGAACTTTCATTGATGAAAATGTCAAACGTAAGCGTGCTGTGAATGCATTCATAGCTCGCGCGTTCTGTTCCGAACACTACCATACCATGTGCGGTAAGCTTTCACAACGGCAAGCAATGTACGGAGCAGCTTGCTAGATGCATTTTAGATTTGTCCTACATGTTTGGCTATGCCATTCACCAAGCGGGTGTCAATACTAGTCCACAAATTCGATCGGTTACTAGAGGAAGCCGAACAGCCACGACGCGTTTCGATGTAATTTCATCTCATCAGGTGGAGACAGCAGGATTTGAACCCACGACCATTAAAATAGCGGCCAACAATACTACCCCTTTGGCTACCGGGTCACGATGGGCAATGCTTTTTGTCACAACGTCAGATGACTAATTGGAGGGTCAAGTTTGTATTACACGTTGTGTGAGTGGATTGCGACACGCAACCTCAATGTAATGGACTGTGATTCACATTGAAATGAACCTCAGTCACTGCGATCACGGGGACCGTATTCAAAGTCGATGGAAATTGGGTATTGCCCACCCGAAAACACTGCACAGCCACGACGCGTTTCGATGTAATTTCATCTCATCAGTTGGAGAGAGCAGGATTTGAACCCACGACCATTGGAATAGCAGCCAACAATACTACCCCTTTGGCTACCGGGTCACGATGGGCAATGCTTTTGTCACAACGGTAGATGACTAATTGGAGGGTCAAGTTTGGATTACACGTTGTGTGATTGGATTGCGACACGCAACCTCAATGTAATGGACTGTGATTCACATTGAAATGAACCTTAGTCACTTTGATCACGGGGACCGTATTCGAAGCAGATGGAAATTGGGTATTGCCCACCCGAAAATACTGCACAGCCACGACGCGTTTCGATGTAATTTCATCTCATCAGGTAGAGACAGCAGGATTTGAACCCACAACCATTGGAATAGCAGCCAACAATACTACCCCTTTGGCTACCGGGTCACGATGGGCAATGCTTTTTGTCACAACGGTAGATGACTAATTAGAGGGTCAAGTTTGGATTACACGTTGTGTGATTGGATTGCGACACACAACCTCAATGTAATGGACTGTGATTCACATTGAAATGAACCTCAGTCACTGCGATCACGGGGACCGTATTCAAAGTAGATGGAAATTGGGTATTGCCCACCCTTTATATGAACCTATATGGTGCAACTCATTTCTGTTACCTTGCTACATATTCGTATGTGTCTGCCTTTTGT